GCACTCCCAAGCGGCGCACTGTAGCAGTGCGCCACCGGGCCGGCCCATCTGGGGGCCTGACTTTCTTACTCCAGCAGGAGTAGAATTCAGTGGTGTAAATCCTGGAGTGAGACAGAACTGGATTTGAATTCCAGCACTGCCATGTAGCAGTGGTGTGTCCAAGAGCAAGATATGAAACGTCACGGAGCCTCAGTCTCCTCACTTGTAGAATGGAGGGGATAGCAGAACCTGTTCCACAGGGTTGTGGTGAGGCCTAACCGGAGTCGTGCAGACCCAGTGCTCAGCACAGCTTCTGGCCCTCAATCAGAGATGTGCCGTGTACTTCCCAGGCCTGCATAGAAAAGGCAGTTAACATGCAACTNGGGCCGGTCTGGCGCGCTGGCTTTCCTGGCCTTTGTTGTCTGGGCTGATCGTTTGTTCCCGTAGCCGGGCTTGGGCGCTCTCGGGAGTCCTCCTCTGTGTCGGCCCCAAAACCTCGAACCTGCTGCCACTTGTTTGTCGATGTAGGATCGTTGTTGAAAGAATTATTCGCCTTTTGTTGCTCTTGGAAATGCAATCAATACTCTGGTATCACAGCGCACGGCTCACAGGATCGCGCTGTCTCCTGTCACGGCCGCTCCAGACCCGTCGCCATCTTAGAATCAGAAGGCCTGAATTATCAAGATTTTAGATTTTTGCCTGACAAGTTTTTCTCCCTATTACTGAAACAAAAGTATTCTAAACCACTGTATAAATTGGGAGATTTAAGTTGATCATCTGCCTTGCAAAGAACCCTGACTAATGAGTAAATAAAATAAAGTTCAGATAGTTTTTATTTCAAATTTTTATTTATTATTAGCATATTCATTCTTACAAATCATGATATTTCTTTATACTCTTTGCGCAACCTATCAAGTTCAGATAGTTTTAAAGGGAAGCCAAGCTAGCTCTGCCACTGTGAGAAATATTATCATTATCTTCTATGTAAGTGTACAAATAATATAAAATAATAATATAAACTACAGACTATTAGATTATTAGTCCTTTGAAAATTATAAGTGTACCATGAAAGAATTCTAAGTTCTAGGCACTTTAAGCATTTTCATTAAAATGTTCTGCATATGCTTTCTATATGATCAAGCCTTTAGGTAAAATACCTGATCTTCAGAAATGCAAAAGGATTTCCAGATATAGTAAAAGTCCTTGTTTTCTTATGATTACAAAATATATTTTCTATATCATAAATTGATAGTAAGCATATCATGTACTAGTAATAACAACTAAAGATTGAAGCGAATATACTCAACAAAAAGCCCTTATAAAAGAACACACATTCATGTTTTGAAATATGATATACCTAAAACCATGGCCAATGTTCAGCCAGGAAGCACCCGTCAGGGCCCCGTGGCTGTTTCTGAAATCCTGTGTTCTGGATGGTCAGAGTCTGGGCCTCACCAGTTGTTTGCATTATAATCCCTACTTAGAACTCTATAGAACTCTGTAGAATTGGTAAACATAAAAAGGTAGCTCAAAAATGTCAGACATAAATGTCAAACATTTTCATTATAATCCCTACTTATAACTCTATAGAACCACTAATTGGTAAACATAAGAAGATAGCTCAAAAATGTCAGACATAAAAAGATATTGCAATTACCAACAGGTTGCTGTAGGAGAAACTGGTGACTCTTGTTGATACTTAAGGATAAACATCATTGTCAATAAAAGTAACAATTTGGTTACCAAATAGCTTTCCTAAAAGCACTCCCATACCAAGAAATGCACATCAATAAATGTTATTAAATTTGGGCATTTAGAATAGTCTAGTTAAAAATTTTTAAAAAGCTAGAATATGTTAAAGCAAAATACTGCCTAATATGAATGTCTTAGGGTGGTGTTTGGCTGGTGGCCGGCTTGGATCTGGCCTGTATATTCAGCACATAATCATGCCGGAAAGACGAGCGGACAGTGCGATTCATCAGGGGCTGCAGGGGGCGGAAGTTGTCCACCATTTTTTTCTCTTGCTCCCCCTTGGAAGTGAAAAGCAGGGTCCGAAATTGCTCAAGCTAGAAATAGAAACAGAAAGCATAAATAATTTTAATAGAAAACCAGCTTTACCTTATGAATAAATTACTTCCATTTTTACAATTCTGAAATATTTGCTTCAGCTTGGATACCAGAGAACTTATTTCTGGGTAAGGATGCCTTTACCATTTGACAGGGAATAAAATGCCTGGTTGTTGTTGTGTGGGGAGAGCAGCAGGAGGTGGTAAAACTGGTGGAGCCCTTCGGATCCAAACAGTGGGGTCAAAGGCCCTGTCCCCCATATATTAGCCATTTACCAAGGAATCGCATCTTTAAATGAGCGAAGTAGCCAGCTTAGAAGATAATAAAGGAAAGAACTGATGCATATAGTAACAGTGCAAAAAAATGCCTTTTTTTTTAAAAATTGAACTGAAGTGTCAACATAAAAAATGTATTCTCGATTGCCTGTCACACCTGGGCATGGTGGGCAAAGCAATGTATATAGATGTCTTAACTGGCAGTGGCATGCTCCCTGCTGGTGCTGCCCTATAGAACTTTCTGCAATGATGGAAATGTCCTCTGCATGGTCCATTCTGGTAGCCACAAGCCACAAGCCACATATGGCTAGTGAGCACGTAAAATGTGGCTAGTGTGACTAAGGACTTAAATTTTTTATTTAATTTAATTGAAATTTACGTATATTTAAATTTAAATTTAACATGTGGCTGGTGGCTAATGTATTGGACAGTACAGCTCAACACAAAAGGAGCAACCCAAACTATCAAGGGCTTGTTCTCTGACGTGACCTCAATCAATAGCCCCTTGGCTTTCTGGGCAACCGTGCTATGGAACACTTTATTTCATGCCAGCCAGGAACCCGTTCACATTTCCCCTCAGTCAATCCGGCTTACTGTAGCTGGGGAGAAGATAGCCTGGGACACAGTCAGCAAGCATGTGATTTGTTTGGAACAAAGACTTCAGGCCAAGTATAGCTGAAGAGTCAGGACTATGACCAGAGGCAAGCACTGGACACAATGGCTGCACTTGCAAATGACACATATGCCCTCTTTAATTAGGAAGCTGTGCAAGTAGCTAATGTTTATTTTTATTCAGCTAATTGCGAAAGATTTGAAATAGCTCAGGTACCAGTAACATAGGACATTAGATCTATAAAATTGACTCGTATGTAGCCCTTAAAAATAATATTGAAGATAATGTTTATTATCTAGAAAATGTTCCACACATCACTGAATAAAAGGAGCAGTAAAATGGTATGTATAGAATGATTCCATGTTATAAAAATGATGCATATTTATATAGGCAAAGGACCAGAAGGATTTATGTATATCTGTATAGATAAAAGACCAGAGGATTTACCCAAACAATGATTAAACTGAATGGTAAGATTATAGGCAACTAGAATTATAAATGACAGGTAACATTTTTTTTCTTACTAAATTTTCTGTATTGAAATTTTATTTAAAAAGTCCTGTACCAGCCAGCCACAGGACAAAAAAAAAAAAAAGAAAAGTCCTCATATGGGCCACTGACCCTCTGATTTATTTACTTTATTTATTTTTCAGTGTTATGTCAATTTTTTAATATGAAAGACAGTAGTAGACTAAATGTACAGGCCACAAAGCCCAGGCTTATGGGCTCAAGCTCTGTATTTTGTCATTTGTGGTCTTCATCATACAGAAATTTTTTTCGAAAATTATGTAGTCTAATTTACTAGTTGCTTTCTTTAAGACTTCTGGTTTCAATTTATAGTAAGAAAAGCTTCCTTCATTTGGAGGTATGAAAGGATTTTCCTCTGCTTATTCTAGTACTTTTATGGTGGTACTTTTTACATTTAATACATCTGTGATATATTCTTGTATAAGGCTTCAATTTTTTCTCCCAAATATCTGCTCAGTTGTTCCCCAGCAGCATGTACTGAATACTCTATCTTTTTCCCCTCATTGAGCTGAGACGCTATCTTTATCACAAGATAAATTCTCGTATGTATTTGGACATATTTCTGAACTTACTATTTTCTTCCTGTGAAGATTAATTTTATGTGTCAACTTGACTAGGCCATGGGGTGCCTAGATATTCGGTTAAACATTCTGAGAGTGTCTGTGCGAGTGTTTCCAGATGAGATTAGCATTTGAATTGGCAAACTGAGTAAAGCAAATCGCCCTCCCCGATGTGGGTGGGCATCATCCAATCCAATGAAGGCCTGAATAGAACAAAAAGGCAGAGGAAGGTTAAATTTGCTTTCTGCCTACTGCTTGAGCTGGGGCATCGATCTTCTCCTGCCTTTGAAGCTCCTGGTTCTCAGGCCTTCAGACGTGGACTGGAATCTACATCATCAGCTCTCTGGCTATCAGGCCTTTGAACTACACCACTGGCTTTCTTGGGTCTCCAGCTTACAGATGTCATATTGTGGGATTCTCAGCCTCCATAATTGCATAAGCCAATACCTTATGATAAATCTCTTTCTCTGTCTCTATCTTTATCTCTCCTGTTGGTTCTGTTTCTCTGGAGAACCCTGCCTAATACACTTCCCTTGATTGATCTCTTTATTCGTGTGCCTGTCCCATGTTACTTAATTATTGAGGCTTTATAACCTTGTGAGTTTAATCATTCCTCATTTTCTTTTTAAAGATATTTTCTGGCTATTCACATTTGTTTTTACACGAGTTTAGAAGTAGCATATCTATTTAAAAGTCCTATTAGTATGTTTATTGGGACCACATTAAATTTATGGAGAATAAACAATTCATGGAGAATAACAACTTAAGGAGAATTGACATCAAAGGTGTCTTTATGATGTCTTCCTCTCCAATAATATGGCATTAGTTTTATTAATTCAAGTCTCTTTTGTGTCCTTCAGGAACATTTTAAGTTTTCATGTTAACTTTCCTTGTTAAACTTATTCCAAAGTATTTTATAGTTTTGATTCCATTATAAATAGGTTTTTTTTCCCATTATATCATTACATCATTGTATCTTTTAGCTGACTGTATAATAAAAAAACTGGAAGCTTTTGTTCTTGTGAAAATTCTTTGTAATTAATAAAAATGCCATAAAGCAAGTATGAGCAAAAATTATTTTAGTTTAGTTATATTATGAATTAAACAGGATTTTGTTGTATTGACAAAGTAACCACCATTTATACGTAGTTTTTAAGGGAAAAATAAATCCCAAGATCAGAACAACTAACTTACATTAAAATTTCCAAGCAGATGTTGTTGGATTCTGTTTTTATCTTGAGATTCTACAGCAAAACTCTCTTAAGGATTTTAAAGGGTTTTGAATATGAAGGGATTAAAATATACCACCCCGGGATATTGACTATTTAAGTTAAAGACATTTGAGAAATAGCAGATGCAAAAAGATCACTTTGACCTTCATGCTGTTTCTTAAAAGCAGAAGATGAAATTTCCATGTGAAACACGCCCTTTCTATACTAGAAAGATGCAACATCATTACCCTCAAGGATGAGAAGTTGACACAGACAGAATGCTGTACAGATCTTGTTAGGATCACTCATCTTTTAAGCCCCCCCTACATAATTTAGTTGCTTCTTTGCAACTTAGTACTCTTTGTCCAATTCAGTATATAAGGAACTCACTCTACTTCTTTGGGTCTTCATTTCTTTATAAGGACTCCTATGCCACGTAAAATTTTTATTATGCTTTTCTCCTGTTCCTGTTAATCTGTATTATGTCAATTTAATTCTTGAACCCAGCTGGGACCCTAAGAGGATGGTGGTGGAGTTTTTCCATCCCTGCAAACACATCCATTTCCAGTCTTCACTCTTCCATTTAAAAGAGTCTTGACTATATAGAGATTCATAAAATTATTTGTAAAACACGCAATGCATAAAACATATGTCACTGTCCAGTACAGAAGAAAAAAGCTTATGTTCTTCTATGCTTTAGCTCTTCCCTATAGTTAATTTGAAGCATCCCCAAATTCATCTGCAAACTGAAACAAGACATTAGCATATTTCAATAAAAATGTACAAGCATTACAAGACATTAAAACTGATGCCAAAGTTTGAGCCCAGCCTTGTTTTAAACAGGCAGACTAGGATTTCCTTAGGTGGAAATTGTGGAAAGAATGTACCTGATCATGATCAACTTCGACTGGCTGCTTCTTAATGATCCAGGTGACAGACTCGGAGAGGGGCGGGGTAGTCAGAGATCCTGAATAGGTCCAGTAATCCGGGCAGGTGGGCATCAGGCATGAAGGGTTGAATGACCCAAATTCCACGAGGGTGTCCTGGCCAAGAGACGGGGGTCACCAAGTCATTATTTAGTGGTGAAACACTCAGGAATCGCATGACGAGGTGATGATTCTTATGGTTGTCCAGGTACCAGCAGTGGTCCTGGGTACCTCTGGGTACCTCTGGGCAGCTCCCTGAAGAGTCACTGTTTGGGACAGAATCATGCCCACGCTTTGTTTCTGTAATCAGCTGTGTATTTCTGTTACTCCTCAGTGGGAAAACAGCCCAAACCTTGTTCTTCCTCAATTCTAGTGAGTTTAGTTTCCTCTGAGTATCGTTGGGAGGTATTAGGCATTGGCTGGTGCAGAAACAAGGAGGCTTCTTAGCTTCCCCCCCCCACCCCGCCCTTTCCAAGAGAGACTAACAAAGAATTGTCCCTTTAAAATGAAATGCAAATCAGGAGGAGCCACAATCCTGGACTAACGGGAGAGACAGAGAAAGGGAAAAAGAGGGAGATGGAAAGGAGAAAGAGGTAGAGGGACAGAGGGATGGGGGAATATATGGACTTCCAGGAAGAGGCCCCTTTGGGATTCTGAATATTGAAGAATTAATCTTGGGGGTTGGACAAAGGTATCCAGCCTGAAGGAGAGGAGTCATTTTTCTTTATAGCTGGACAAGTCAAGTTTCTGTAAAACTTTTCTCTGCTCTCCACCTTGGGAGGGCAGCTAGAGAGAAGAAGGCTGCGCTGAGTGTTTTCACAAGGACTTAGAAGGAACCAGTGCATCAGGAACAGAACAGAGGACAGCAGTATGTTCCTAAATCCCCAAGTCCTCAGAGGCATGGCAGTAAAACCAGAAAGCTCAGTGATCACCAACGCAATCACTTCTGCTCCCTGTAATGTGACCCGAGGCCAGGGGCTCTTTCAACACAGCATCATAAATAGCAAGTCTCCTTCTAAGGCAATGTTCAAAGAGAGCCTGAATACAGTTCACTTAATTATACTTCCTGATTCAAAGTGCCTTGTTAATGTCTCCATTCTGAGATTGAAACACAAGATATATTTCAAGTGACTTAGGAAAAAAATATTACCTTATGCTTAATTGATGGCAAAATATCCACCAACTTCTGTAGTTCTTTATGATGCTTGCCTAGCTAAAGAACAATCAATGAGAAAGTATTAAAAACAATGGACATCTCGGTGTAAAAACTCTAACAAAATGGGAATTCAAATTAACCACCTGGTGATTACATAAAAACAAACCACAGGGTTGAAACACTTACACTGGTAATTTAGAATGTTATTATAAACATCTCTAAATTAAATCAGACACAGAACAAATGAGCAGGCTCTTTGCTGACAAGGTCAGCGTGCCTGCAGGGAAAGGTGCCCCCAGTTCCATTTAAGTGTCAGTTCTTCAACTGACATTTACATTAATTAAAATTAAATAAAATTAAAAATTGTTCCACATTTGCAGTAGCCACATTTCAAGTGCTCAATGGCCACATGTGGCTTGCAACTACTCCATTGAACTGTGCATTTTTATCCTATTTGAAATATATTTGTAACAATCTTGTATTTTAACCATTGTTTATTTTCATCAGTGTATTGATCCCACTATTCTTAAAGTAAATAACAATATTGTAATGTTCTATCTTTTTATGCTAGGATACAAAACATCATTTAAAGTTGGTGAGATTTTTGTTACCTTTAAAAATACTCCTATCACAGCCAAACCATCTTCTTCCAGTGCTGCATCCTCGAAGCTTTCAAATTTGACAGCATTCCAATGCACCAAGTGCAACTGAAACACCATTAAAAGAGGGTTTAACACATGACCATACAGGATTGCTCCAAAATAAACTGAGAGTCTCATTCCACATATGATATTTAAACATGTTTCCTCACCCAACATAAAGCCACTGAGAAAAGCATATGACAAACTGCTACAAAATGAAATAATAATAAAGAACAGGAAGAAATTTAGGCAAGAGCAGCAATTAATACTACTTAGGAATAGAGGGATTTATATGGGGAAAAAATAAAAGAAAATTCATATAGCAAAATAACATTTTAGTGAGGGATTAACATCTGTCCCTTGCCATCCTGATTTGCAAGAAATGCTAATATCTAAAAGCCTTTTTTGCATCTAAAGGAGAGAAGGTGTTTATACTGAGAGAAGTAGATTCTCCCTATGGAAATTAAACAGGAGTTGAAGACAAATTTCTTCTTTGAAGGATAACCACTTGAAATGTATTTTTATTTTTAACATAACATTTAAAACTAAATTAGGGAAAAATTTGTCAAGAGATTCTATTTCTTTATGCTTTCCTTATATTTCCCTACAAATTATTCCTCATCCGTCATTCATGAATGATTATCATCCAGCTTCCCGAGTGAGACATCTCGAGGTCACGGCTAAATTCACCTTCTCTCCAGAAGAGGACCCAACCTCCAAGTAATGTTGCTTTTATTTCAGAAATGCTTGATAAATCTTGCTCTTTTTCTCTATTTCTATTGCCACAGCCTTCATTTAGGCTCCCACCGTCTCTCATTTGGATTAACCTAACCTTTTTTTTTTTAAAAAGATGATCGGTAAGGGGATCTTAACCCTTGATTTGGTGTTGTCAGCACCATGCTCAGTCAGTGAGCCAACCAGCCATCCCTATATGGGACCCGAACCCGTGGCCTTGGTGTTACCAGCACCGCACTCTCCCGAGTGAGCCACGGGCCGGCCCCAGGATTAACCTGACCTTGGGGCCCTGCACTGTTGCCTGGGTGATTACTTTAGGCTGTGATTTAAGCCTAGCTTAGAATTCTTTCAGAATATTAAGGTTCATTTCAGCTATATTATTTGAGATGAGGGAAGTTACCATTTTTACATGTCTAATCTGGGAATGATCAAATATGTCCCTGAGGGAGCTATTTACATTCACAGGAATCACCTGATTCTTCCTGATAATTTCTTAGACCTAGAAACCTCAGAAGTATCCCCACTTCTCCACACATATCACTCTTCCTGACCTTACATACCTCTGCTGGGTAGCATTTGCTGTCCACGGTGTGCTCAGAGCCCCAGGCGTTGATGGCTCCCCAGTGAAAATGGAACTGCTTCAATCGGTAGTTGTGTTCCAGGGGTCCTCCCTCAATCACTGAAATGGCACATCCAAAAATTCAGGGGACGGTTATTTATGGGACTGTGGGGGAAAGGCTAATCTGTGGGTGGACTCTTTATGTGGACTGTCTTAAATGGAGTATGCTGTATTATATACAAGTGTTTAATAAACTGGATTTCCATGTGGTTGATGCAAGACTGAGTTGACACCAAGATTCAACCACATTGCAAGCTACATACAATTGTTAAAGGCCAGTTCTTGACTTATCTTTATATTCTATTTTTACTGTGTCTGGTTTTCTTTTATGTGCAATAAAATGCAAATTTCAGCATATTTATCCAACACAATCTCCTAAAACTGAAATATAAGGACAAAAGATACTCTCCTTTTATGTACTGACACTTTGCTTTTCACTTTTTTTTTTTTTCCTTTTTGTCTTTTTTCGTGTCCGGCAACGGATCGCAACCCTCAGTGTCACGCCCGTACCGGACCGGGACCGGCAACGGGATCGCAACCCTCGGTGTTGGGCCCGCACCTCGCTCAGCCAGTGAGCGGGAACCGGTCTGTATGTGGGATCCGAACCCTCGGCGGGAGCGCCACTGCACTCCCAAGCGGCGCACTGTAGCAGTGCGCCACCGGGCTGGCCCTGCTTTTCACTTTTTGAAGCTATCAGTGTTTCTTTCCCCTTCATTGAACTGCAATAGGAAATTTACAAGCCAAAAATGATCACCTGAGAGATGTTGGTCAAAGGGTACAAAGTTTCAGTTAGAGAGGAAGAATTTTTCAAGATCCTTTGCACAGCATGCTCACCATAGTTAATAACAATGTATGTTTCAAAATTGCTAAAAGAGTAGATTTTAAATGTTTTTACTACAAAAAAATGATAAGTATGTGAGGTGATGGGTATGTTAATTAGTTTGCTATAATCATTCCATACTGTATACTTATGTTAAAACATCACATTGTACCCCATAAATATATATAATTATTGTCAACTAAAAAACCAAAAATTGTCACCTAGCTCCCATTGGACAGAATGAACAATGTTAGCCATCCATACACTTTACCACTGTTCTTACCGTGGTGGATAATAAATAGCTTTTGTTTAGACTAGGCTGTTCTGGAACTTGTGAAATCAATACATGATAGGCAAAATATTCAGTTAAGACAAGTTTATTTGTTTTTTTTTTTCTTTTTGTCCTTTTTTTGAGACCGGCCGCACCGCGCTCAGCCAGTGAGTGCTGTGAGTGCACCGGTCATCCCTATATAGGATCCGAACCCGCAGCGGGAGCGCTGCTGTGCTCCCATCGCCACCCTCTCCCGAGTGCGCCACGGGCTCGGCCCTAAGACAAGTTTTTAAAGTCATCCTTCCTGATTTTTTTTCTTAAATTTGCCAAGGCCTTTTAGTTCCTCATTTCTTCCATCCCCTCAGACCCTGGCAATGAACAACACTAAAACTATCCATCTCATCCAGTTTAATGATTTTTACTGTTTATTACATCATTAGTTTAATTGTATGCACACAAATAAACAAGAACAGCGATCCCAAGGACCAAATACACAGAATACGTCACGCAGTGGTCTGTTATGTATCTTACCACTTTTGAAAAGTACTTACATAATTTCCTCTAAAAAAAGTTTTGTAAGAGGCACGTGAAGATACCAATGACCACTTCTGTTTGGGGGAGGGGGGCAGGAAAGATGCAGAGAATAATACCACATGATTCACTAATAGGAGGACTGTAAAAAAAAAAAAATCTTATTTTTCTATGTCAGCTGTATATTGTGAGCACGATTTTGGCAAATACTGAATCCAATCTGTTGAACAAAATTGAAGTTCTGGTCCCAAGTTAACTGACCAGGGCAGTGGAAAGGGCTAGCTTTTCTGTCCTATCCCTAGAACAATACTGGCAACATTTCCTGCACCCTAACTGTGTCTCCTCCAAAGATAATGAGCAGGACAGAGAAGAGACATCACCAATGGGTGGCTGCAAGGGAAGGGAAGGGTGCAGAATTCGTCTTCAGGTGTGTTTTGACTCACCCACACAGTGTTGATTCACAAAGTACTAAACACATTTTGTAATTAGATATCAACATTTAAAGCTGGGCAATTTCATATAAAAACCCACATTTCCAATTTGACCTGTGAAAACGAGATGCCCTGGCCATGATGGGCACACAATCCCACTGGGAGACAGTAGGCCGCCCCTTTAGATAGGTCTTCACTGTCGACGAGCTGCCATTTTTCTCAAACTCTCACAGCCTTGCTCATTCTCATTAATTCCCTGGCCTGTGGGTATGTCTACATTCGTGAGCCTTGGGACAGAAGTTAGAGGCCCAGGCATCTGACTCAGGCACTTGCTAGCTAGAAAGATCATTAAGTCCTCACCATGTGCTGGACACCAAAACAAATTGTACACAAGGGAGAGAGGAGACAGGGAGGTAATTCTACTGTATAATGTGGCTAAGAGTATGTAGTATGTAGGACAAGGACCTCAGTTTGAATTAATCGGCTATGTGTCATTAGCCATGTGTGCTGGCAGCTTCTTAGCCGATGCCCAATGATCCGCATCTCCTGGTATTCACAATTTTGTATAATCCCCTCCCTGAGTGTGAGCTGGATCTCATGACTTGCTTCTAAGGGCAAAAGTGATGGGATGTCACCTTTAGGATTAGGTTACAGAAAGACTCTGGCTTCCATCCTGCTTGCCCTCCCTGACTTTGCTTGCTTGCTTTGATGAAGGCAGTTGCCATGTTGTGAGCTGCCCTATGGAGAGGCCCACATGGCAAGGACATGACAGTGGCCCCTGCCATCAGTCCCCAAGAATGAAGGCCCTGAGACAAACTGAATCCCACTAATAGCCACTTGAGTGAGTTTGGAAGAGGATCCTTTGCCAGAGGAGCCTTGAGACGAGACCCCAACCAAGGCTAACATCTTGATCACAGCCCTATGAGAGACCCAGAGCCAGAGCACCAAGCTAAACTGTGCCCTGATTCCCAGTCGATGAGCGTGGTCTGAAAAACGCTCCATGAATGGGCTCTTGCCTACCTCTGAACTTGTTCTTCTGCTGCCTCCTTCCTACACTTTACACACAGCAATACCTAACACGAGCATCACACTGCCTCACCCTTCCACCTCCACAAAGACTGCCCAGATGTCACCTCCACCTTCTCCCACCAGCCCCACATGCATACCTCCGTCACAGCACTTAGCACTCTGCATGAGCATCATCTCATCTAGGTTCTATCTCCCAACCACACTCTTAACTCTCTTAAGGCAGGGACCATCCCTTCTTCCTCTTTCTATTCTGAGCACCTGGCACAGTGCGTGGCACTTAGTAGATCCACAATGAAACCAGGAACTAAAGAAATAGACTGTCAAGTGTCTGTTGGTTTTGTTAATTAGGATGTTACTGGTAACCTCGGCAAGAGCCAAGGAAAAGGGTGGGGTCAGGTGGGGCAGATGACTGGATGAGAAGGGGAAGTATAGTCATCAAGAAACGGGGCAGAGAAGGAAGACAGAAGATAGTGAATTAGAGAGCAGAACAGTCATAAGATCTATCAGATAAGTATATACTTATGTATTTGAGGTTACAGATATTTTGTTTTTCCTGTGCTGTAAAATGAGAAAGGATTAAACTTATAAAAAAATAGGTAACAAATATAAAACATCTAGCATAGAGTCTGGCTTACAATAAGCAATCTCTGTAATGTTCACTACCCTCTTTTGCTTTTCAATGCGTAAGTGAAGGAGCTAGCAGAGAAAAAGATGAAGAGAAAGGTAATACACAAAACCATAAAAGTAAATGCGGGAAATGGGCATGAGGAATCTTTCTGGGGTGATGGAAATGTTCTAAAATTGGATCAGGTGATAGATGTTACACAACTCTGTAAATTTACTAAAAATCATTAAATTATTTTTAGTTTTTAAAGTAAATGTAGGACCAAAAATAGGGAAGGAGAACTTAAAATGTTTGTGAAAGCATTCTTACTAGGTTCACTGGCAATGCCCCCATCAAAGTGCAAAGTAAGTGAAGTGGGATGGGGCAGGAAGTACCTGTAGAAGGAGAACAATGGGATTCACCTGTCCTTCTCGTTAATGCCTGTGGACATTGCCAGTAAGGGGAATTTCAGCGGTGATAATTTACAGGAATCATCCATGTTAGCCCAGGGATAATTTAGCGCCCTTCCCCATGATATTTTTTTTTTAATCTCTCATACTCACTCATTAAAATCATTTACTTGTCCTACTTAGGGGAACCAAATAACTAAACAATACCCAGCAGAGGATAGTGGTATGAGATGCTCACATACCTTCTCTTATAATCCTTGTAATTTCTGTAAGGTAGGTCATGTCGACCCCTCTTTCATTCCAGATTTTAGTAATTTGAGTCTTCCCTTTTATTGTTTTCTTGGTCAACTTAACTGAAGGTTTGTCAACTTTGTTGATCTTCCCAAAGAAGCAACTTTTGATTTCTGCTCTGTTCTTTACTATGTCCTTCTTTCTGCTTGCTTTGGGTTCAGTTTGCCCTTTCTAGTTTCTTAAGGTGGAAAGCTAGGTTACTGATTTGAGAAAGTTCTTCTCTACTACATGCATTTTCATCTATAAATTTCCCTTTAAGCACTGCTTTAGCTGCATCCCATAAGGTTTGGTATGATTCATTTTTGTCACATACCTTCCCCAGATCCTTTACCTTGCACTTTATCCCAGATCTTTATAAAGCACACTTTAGCAGCATTTCTTAGGTGCTGTTTTTTTGTCAGCACCACGCTCACCCAGTGAGCAAACCGGCCATCCCTATATGGGATCCGAACCTGTGGCCTTGGTGTTATCAGCACCACACTCTCCCGAGTGAGCCACAGGCCAGCCCCGGTGCTGTTTTTTTGTATTTTGAAATTTATAGACATTGATATTTATTAGATGCTTACTTTTCTAGAATTGTTTCTTGCCTTCATTTCTAGGATGTCTTTGCTTTCTTTTACTTTTTCTTTATTTTTTATATGTTCATTTGCTCTTTTTTCTTCTTTGAATGCTATTGATTATTTTGCAACAGCAGAAAGAAATAGCAGTGAAGAACAAGCAGGAAATAAGAGGCAGTCACTGAAATTTGAAAGAGAGAGAGAGAGATACTTATTAAAGATTGATGGTATCTTAAAGAAAATTATTAAAGCATAATAAAAAGGGACTATCAGTTTTAGTCCTTCCCAACCAAACAAGTGGACAATTACCAACCTCTCTACAATTTTTCTTGCATATTTTATAAAAACAGGGTGAGACTGACTCACCTAGGGAGGGCAGAATCAAAGAATGATTTAATCAGTTGGGTTTGTAGGTATTTAAAGAGCTATTATGATGAAAATGTGGGTCATTTGTTTTTCATCTGAGATTACCCATGAAAATGGGTAGATAAAGAATTCTTGAATCTATTGTTCAAAAGAAAAAGAGACAGCTAAAAAATAAAACAAACAGCTATTTGCCCCGGAAGTTCTTGGGCTCAACTCATTTGGTTAAGAAACACACTAAACAACTTCCTAAGATTTCCAACTCAATCAAGCAATGATATACAGTCCTCTCTTGGTAACTGTAGGGGATTGATTCCAGGACCCTGCTGATGGACGCTCAAGTCCCTGATAAAAAATGGCACAGTACTTGCATATAATCTATGTGTATCCTCCTGTATACTTTAAATCATCTATCTCTAGATTACTTATAATACCTAATACAATGCAAGTGCTATTAAATAGTTGTTATGCTGTATTTTTTTTTTTTTTTTTTAGCAGCTGGCCAGTACAGGGATCAAACCCTGGGCCTTGGTGTTATCAGCACCATGCTCTAACCAACTGAGCCAGCCCCTTGTATTGTTTTAACTTGTATAATCTTTTGTTATTGCATTGTTATTTTTATTTTATTTTTTAAAAATATTTCTGAGGGCCGAGCCCGTGGCGCACTCAGGAGAGTGCGGCGCTGGGAGCACAGCAGTGCTCCTGCTCTGGGTTCGGAGCCTATATAGGGATGACCGGTGCGCTCACAGCGCTCACTGGCTGAGCGTGGTGCGGCCGGTCTCAAAAAGGACAAAAAAAAAAAAAATTTTTGATCTGCTGTTGGTTTTATCCATTGATGTGGAACCCACAGATGTGGAGAGCCAACTGTATTCTATATTGGTAAGAGAAAGTCCCTAGACTGTCAAGGGCTTTAGAAAGCCCACCAATACCTAGGATCCTCAGAAGAAAAGAAAGAAGGTTGCCAGGTACCTAGATGAGATTGAGACTTGAAAGGATTGCTGCGCATCCAGAGTGAACGTATGAGAGTTGGTACTCTATAGACTGGATCTGCCCATCAGTTTAGCTCTGGCAAGGATAATGGTAGAGCTCTAAGGGAGACCAGTGGAGCTCACCAGAGTGCGAGATGGTCATCCGGAACACAGGAATTTAGTTTGCTGTTCTGAAGATTTCTGAAATCCTTATACACAACATAATATTATAAGCTTCCAGCTGAGATGGAAACACACTTGAGAGTTTTGGAAAAATGAGGAAAGATGCCCTTGACTCTGGAAGGAAAAGGAACAACTCCTTCCTTATTTGAGATACATCAGTTTGATGTTCAGGCTTGGGGGCTGTGTCATACCACAGAGGAGAAACAAAAGTATGGGAGACATGGACCCACCTATGCCCTTAAGGACAGACTCGAATACTTCCTGAATCACAGCAGAGAACCAGAGAGAAAGTAAGCCCATTCGAGGAGCAGTCTATTTGCAGTTGGGCCAGAGGGTCATGTCTAAGTATCAGAGCATCACTAGGAAAATGCAAAGAAAACAAATATATGGGTGAGAATCCTAGAGCCAGGATAAATACAGGAGTGAACATTTCTATTTATGCCTTAAGTTACACTTTTTACTTCATTCATTATCACTTTCATGAACTCATTTCCTCACATTCATGAGAGAAAACAAATTTCCTTTAGATCAGGATTTCTCAGCCTCAGCTCTATTGATATTCGAGGCTAGATAACTCTGTGTTAATGCTGTTCTGTGCACTGTTGGACGTTTAGCAGCAGCCCTGACCTTGACCTACTAGATGCCAGTTGCAACCCCCACCTCCACCTAAAATGCCTTCAGATGTTGCCAAGTGTCACCAGTCCCTGGTCCCAGGGGTTGGGGGGTGGGGGGAGGGCGGCAAAGTTGCCACTGGTTGAGAACTATCACTTTAGATACACTATTTCAAATAATAATTATTTCAGACTAATTAAAACTATTTGATAATGTCAAATTCAGTTAAGAAAAAAAAAAGAAAAGAAAAAAAAGAAAAAAGGGAATAAGAAACCTGTATAGAATTAATCACATTCTGTCTTCCATAAACACCAAAAGTTGAGTGTTTGAAATCACTCACATTAGTTTATATCCAGGTAGTTTGAAAAAAAAAAATTCAAAAGCAATATAATTTGAATTTTAAAAACTCTTAAACTGTGTTTATTTTAAAGTAGGTAACATTGTTTCTTTAACAAAATTAACAGAAGTTTCCATTTCTCCAATATATGATTAGTCTTAACTAGTTGTTAAGGCAGTAATCTAATACACACATGAATTTCTTTTTGTCTCATTTCAAGTGTATTGCAATCTGATAAGTTAAATCTAATTAAATAGTATGACTAGTATTACTATTTAATATAAAAGTTCATGTAAAGTCAGCAGAGAAAATTAGTACATATTAATACACACATACAAAATCAATTTCTGGCAAAGCTTCAATATCACACCCTATCTTCTATACCAATTATAAAATCTCTATATAGAGATACATGTACAGTGAAGCATTGTTTAACGATGGGCATACATTCTGAGAAATGCATTGTTAGGCGATTTCACCACTGTGTGAACATCATAGAGCTCACTTACACAAACCTAGATGGAACAGCCTACTGCACACCTAGGCTGTATGGTATAGCCATTAGAATCTTATGGGACTACTATCTTCTACATAATCAGTCCGTCATTGACCAGAATGTCATTATGCAGCTCATGACTATATTCATTGATAAAAAAATACTACCTATACTAGTTGCAGAAAATGCACATAAAAACTAGAAAGGAACTTTTGATACATTTAAAAGTAAGACCAATGGGTTCCATGCCATTGTTAACAAAGACGTCAGTACTACCATGGAGGGAGTTGGACCTGTCCTGTGTTGACATGACACTGTTCCTTTAACTCCAGACAAGACCACCAGATCTTATCCTCACCTGATTTATCTGTAGAATCTTCAAATTCCACGAGGAAAGAATACCCATTATTCCAGATGTGGAGGCAGGTGGTCGGGTCATAAGAGATGGTGAGTGGTTTTAGAGCAGGATCATAAACACTGTCCCTCCACCGGATGTTGATGGGCGACTGTCGATCACCCGCGGGAACCAGGTCCAGGCTCTCCCAGAGTGGATGCACTACGAGAAAGCAGGTTGGGGATATTAGCAAGATTGTCCACTGTCTAGCATCACACATGAGACAATTCCACAGGTGGGGAACCCGTGGAGGCTAATTGAAACTAAAAGTCTTAGGGGCTGGCCCGTGGCTCACTCAGGAGAGTGTGGTGCTGATAACACCAAGGCCACGGGTTCGGATCCCATATAGGGATGGCCAGTTTGCTCACTGGCTGAGCGTGGTGCTGACAACACCAAACCAAGAGTTAAGATCCCCTTACCAGTCATCTTTAAAAAAAAAAAAAGAAAGAAACTAAAAGTCTTAGGAAATAGCCACTTAGGGCCATCATCAACTGAATAAAGCAGAAGATAAAGGCAGGTCAGACAGCACCTTGCGGACCATTCTGCTGTCTTGGAAAACCAACGTGTCTCAGTCTGTCTACTAACTTCACCTAAAGCAAGCATGTCAGTCCTGAGACTAGTCCATGAGGAAACAAGGTATTCACGAATAAGTTTCTTGTCTTTGTGGATAGTTTCCTAAGCCCCACCCCCAAAACTAGCTTTAAATACAAAGACAAATTAATTTAATTTCAATAACAGATTTTTCAACAAAGGAAATGGAGGAAGAATTTTTGGACAGCAAACTTTCTATCAAGTACTGTCAGTGTTTAGTTGCTTGGGTAGTGGACGTAAAGGCCCATGGAGCCTGCATCCCGTGAAAGGCGCACCCCACCTAGTGTGCGTGCTGAATTCACCTCTCATGTGAGCAAACTTTGAGGACTAGGCAGCCACCCTGCAAAACCTGGGTAGAATATCAGCACTGTGAAGGTCCCGGGAGTTCGCAGTCTGTCACATGAATGTGGACATTATCGTTAAGGTGTACACAGACAATTCGTCCACAAAGGCACTAAAGACATCATTAATGCTGATTTTCTTCCATAGTCAAGCACCAGGTCTTTGTAGCAGGTCCCTGAAAAAAATCAGCAGAGTTCCTGATAACACAGATAGACCTGTTGTGACATCCATGCATGAGGAATGGAACCCACATGTATCAGTTTGGGGTGGTCCCCTTCTCTGCCCTTCAGAAGCACCACAGATGAGTAGAATCAAGGCAAGGAGGAAAACTAGGAGAAATGTCATCGAGAGAAATCATTACCAATGACCCTCTGCATCTCACCCCTTTGCTAAGAATGAGTCTAAGGGTTTAAGAAAGTGACAAGGCAGCTGCTATTCAGCCAAATCCCCCACATATGGCTGCGCCTCCTCCTACTGCCATAAAATCCAGAAACCTGCCTCTGATTTACTCTTAGACAGGAGACGTTCCTCTTGCTTCATTAGCTGCCCAAAGCTGGAAGTCAAGATCTTAACCTTGGTTTTGTTTTGTTTTGCAAAAGCACTCAGCAATATAAAGAGAGCTCTCCTGAGAATGTCTAGACCAGGTTCTCAGCAGAGGAAGTGATTTTGCTCCCCAAAGGACATCTGGCAGTGTCTGGAGACATTTTTGGATGACAAAACTGGGGGAGGGTGCTACTGACATCTAGTGGGTAGAGGCCAGGGGTGCTGCTAAACATCCTACAGTGCACAGGATGGACGGGCTCCCACAAGAAAGAATGTTTCTTTCCCTGCCCAAAATGTCAATAGTGCCAAAGTTGAGAAATTCTCATCTAGAGCTAAAAGTTATATGCAAACTCACAGTATTTTTCCCTTTCTATATTTTCATATAACACAGCACTTCCACCTCTGGAGAGGCCTGAACCCAACATTTGGGTTTTTCCTTTAGTATAAAAGAACTTGTGAAGAACAAGAACATACGTTAGAGAAAAACAAGAACTTTCTGCTTCAGAAATCTAAAATCAAAAATGCATATGAACTGGTACAATATTGTCATATTATAATCTGATGAGAATGCAAATTCCCTGTGGGCAGGCGCCATATCTTTCTCTTTTTTTGTTGCCCTGTAGTGCCTTATTAAATAAATGCCCTTTGAATATTGATTATCCAACTGCTGCTGCTGGGCGGGGGGCAGAGGGAAGCTATATTCTCAAGTTGTGTTAACTTTTAAACTTCTAGAAAACCCTAGAACAGCCCAGATTTTATTGTAAAGATTCCTGGCACAAAGAGACTGTGGCTGATAATTTGAGGACTCACATTCTTCAAAGCCAATTAATGAGGATTTCTTGTGAAGACTAGGGAAGAACTGAACTAATGATCAGGTCCCTAAGATGATGCCCTCTTCATGCAGAGATCACCTTAATTGTCTCTCACTTCGTACAGGAAAGTAGCATCTCTCACACCCGTGCAAACATCAGCCCAAGAAAAACCAGCCTATTCCCTCAATTGCTCTTTTATGACCTTAATGCTACTATCAATTTATGCCCTTTGGTTTACAAGTTCAACTTCCAGAAGGTTTTCTTTCCCCCTACCCATGTCCTCCTTTACTAACCCAGACCCATCCCCCAACTGCGGGGAGAGGGGGTGGTCACTGTCCCCTTAGTTGAGGCAGCTTTTTGCCAAGGGCTTGTTTTGCTAAAGATAAACTCACCCTTTTTTTCTCCCTTCCCCTTCTCTTACTCCATTTAAACTCCATTTAAACACAAAACAGACTGAAATAATTTCTTGGTAGTTGCTCATATTTTCCCTCAAAATAGAAAGATGATGATGTGTTCTCAGTCATAGAGGCTTCGTTTTCCGGTTTTTCTTGCATAAGAAAAATGAAATAAATAGAGATAATGGTTGTATCAACCATGGTTTAAGTGAGCAAAGTAACACTGTCATTAAGAAGGTGTCCGTAATCCACAGCTGATGAGCGACAAAAGCCCTTCAGATTCTATGCTGAGGATGTGCTCGGTTTTAGTTATTTATATGACTAGTCCTAGCTTTGATTTATTTTGTGCTTTAGCACTGTCTTAGTTCATTTGGGGCTGCTATAACATAATACCATAGACTGGGTGACTTATAAATAAAAGAAATTTATTTCTTACAGTTCTGGTGTCTGGGAAGTCCAAGATCAAGGTGCCTGTTGATGTGGTGTCTGGTGAGGGCCTTCTTTCTAGTTCATAGACAGTGCCTTCTCATTGTGTGTTCACATGGTGGAAGGCATGAAAGAGCCCTCTGGAGTCTCTTTTATAAGGGCACTAATCCCATTCATGAAGCTCCACTCTTATGATCTAATCACCTTCCAAAGGCCCCAGCTCTTAATATATCACATTGGGGTTAGGATTTCAACATATGAATTTTAGGGGGACATAACCACTCAGTTCATTGTAACCAACTATTTCTGCAGCTTCAGGAGTGTCCTTCTTTCAGCCCTTGAAACATGGAAATCTCATTCCTGCCTTACTTAGCCCCTTTGTTCCTGCTCCTCCTCCACAGAAATCAATTTCCCCTCATTCAGCTCAGGGCTGGCTCACATTATCTTTAGATTTTGGGCTTAATTGTCACCTCCTCAGCAGTTTTTTCTAACTACTTTCTTATAACATGATCCCCTTATCTTATTATTTTGTAATCATAGCACTCTTATTTTTTCTTCCACAACATTATTACACAGGAGTAGTTATAATTATATGTGTATGTGCTTACTGATCTGCCTCCCCCACAGCTCTGCAAGCCAGCTGGCTTTCAATCAATACTATGGTCTGAATGTTTGTATCCCTCCCCCCATCAAATTCCTATGTCAAAATCCCAACCCCCCAAAGTGATGGTATTAAGAGGTGGGGCGTTTGGGAGGGGACTAGGTCATGAAGGCAGAGCTCTTGTGAATGGGATTAGTGCCCTTATAAAAGAGGCTGATGGAACTCCCTGGCTCCTTCCACCATGTGAGGATGCAGCAGAAGGTACAGTCATTGAAGCAGAGAGTAAGCCCTCACCAGACACTGAATCTGCCAGTGCCTTGATCTTGGAGTTCCCAGCCTCCAGAACTGGAAGCAGTACATTTCTGTTGCTTATAAATTACCCAGTTTAAGGTACGTTGTTATAGCAGCCCAAATGGATTAAGACAGTTTGATTCTCCTCTTTGCTTTATTTCCTCTTACCCCACTGAGCACCACATTATTTCTTCATTAAGACTGTTTTGGGCTCATCTCTTCCTTGCCTTGCCCATGACCACTAGCGTAGTTCAGGCACCTACACCCCACACTTTCATACGAAGCGTCTTGATGGCTTTTCCTCCTCCTCCACGCCCCTCTGCTCTTCTGTTTTGCTGCTCAAGTGGTTTCCCTAAACTATCACCTTCATCATGTTGCACCTGTGCTATAGACTTAAGTCATCAAGTCGTAACTTCTGTGTCCAAGTGCCCAGCTTTCCTATTAGGAACCCACCTCACTTATCCAATCTCATTTCTGCTCATTCTTCCCAAACTCTGGTCCTCCCGTGCTGCTTTTCTTGTCTTGCTGCTCTGCTTGCCATGCTACTCCCTTGCCATGCTTGTCCCCTTGCCATGCTTCTCTCCTTGCCATGCTACTTCACTTTCCCTGCTACTCGACTTGGTATGCTACTCTTCTCACCAATGCCCACCAACTTATCCCTACTTTTGCTTGTGCTGAAATGCCTTTCATTCTCCTTACCACTTATGAAATTTTTTGCAGTTCAAGTCTTATCTCTGTGATGATGTTTTCTCCAACCACTCTTATCTTTGCTTTTTTGAATTCCCACTGCATTCACTCTCACACCATTAAGCACCCAGTCATTCCTCATGTAGTGTATGTTTGCTTTATCTGCTCAAAGGGTCTGTGTCAACTCCAAGCCCATGGGGCCTGTGCCCTGCACTTTTTCTACAGCTTCCAGGGCTAGACTTGGTACCAGGCACAGAGGAGGCACTAAATGCTTATTTTACTGATAGAGAAAACCAAACAAGTCGATCTTAAGGCTCTCTGTCCTTGCCTCACACCCATCATCTCTCTACCAGGCAAGCTGGTTTACCCTGAATACCTCCTGCGTTCACATGATCATATCTGCCTGTTTCTATCACATTTAAAAAAATTCTACCAGGCTGTCAAGGTCAGTTTATGCCCCTTCCCTAATAATTC